CTCCTCCTCCTCCTCCTCCTCCTCCTCCTCCTCCTCCTTCTTCTTCTTGTATGTCATACTTATTGAATTGCCTTTCATCAGATTGGATTGGATTTTATTATTCTACAACCACCCTCTTTACCAAAAAAGCCCAAACAAACTAGCCAAAACCCTTGAATGTTTAAAGAGATAAATATCATTTCAGTCTAAAATGTTAATAAACCCATACCACACCAAGACAATACCTTCAAGTCAAAACTTGATCATGAAACCTTTTGATCCCAATTTTTGGCGATTGTCAAAAGTGGATAGTGTGGTTTTTATATCAACTATTTGAAATCAATAAGAGTTTATGTACTTTGTTCACAAACTATCCTTCTGTTTTAGCATAGTTGATTGTCAAAAGTGGATAGTGTGGTTTTTATATCAACTATCTGAAATCAATAAGAGTTTATGTACTTTGTTCACAAACTATCCTTCTGTTTTAGCATAGTTCTCAAAGTGAAAGGCCTGTTTTGAATGAGATTGATTTTTTATAAAGGCTTTCTTCCATGGCAGGTTTGGGACTCGGGAGCGAACCAGAATCAAGAAGGTTGGGACTCAAAGGGTTAATATGAGAATAGCTTTATGGTTTAATTATTGTTTGTTTCAGCCTTCACAACAATGGTCGGCTCCTTGATGTCTATTGGCGTCTCCACGGCGATGAAGACCAATTTTTCCAGCCTTACGACCTTGAAATCTCTAACCAGGAGCTGTCCTACATCTGTCGCAAATCTGAGCAGTGGCGAGGAGAGGAGGGAGCGCGCAGAAAAGTGGCAGTCTACGACTACATCTGGGAGGAAGATGAAGTAGGTTTCCTGAGAAAGTCTTGCTCTCCTTACATATTTGGATATGATAAAGTATTGTTGCTTTCGCAATAAAAATGAGTACATTTCTTGCACCACTGCTTGAATCTGTTTTACCGAATGAGTGGAAAAATTTGGAGTTCCTCTCATTCTTCTTGTGACGAGGACCATAAATAAATCTTTTGTGTTCAGGCATGAGTAATTCAACATGGTGTTTTAGATGTAAACTAAACAGCTTTTTGTCTTGTTAGAGTGGCCCCATTGTCTATGATGTATTGCTTCGCCTCTGTGCTATTGCATTCAAGACATTTCAGTTTGAATCCCCTATTGGGAAGTCTATTTCATGGAGTATCTCCGCCTTTCTACTTGGACGCTGTGTCTTTTGCAACATTGGTTGGCATTTACTGGCTGGTTCGTAGAAGCCCACCTCCAATATACAGCTTTGTTGGAAAAATGGAATGCATTAGAGTGACTTATTTTTCTTGCCTCAGAGATGAGATTTATTGTACTTTGTCATAGATGCTGTAAATTGAAAACGATTAGGAAATTGAGTCAAAATAATCAAATGTCTTTTTTCTCTCTCACTGTCGTCCATTGCTTGACAGATAGATGATGAAAGTGTCTGGCATGAGGAAAACCAAGAGGAGAGAGAGGAGAGACAGCAGAGAAAGGAAATCACAACTCACGTATCCATCCACACCGTCCACCTGGATGGTTTGAGAGAATTGTACAGGCACTTCCTGCGGCTTCCTGATGGAGCCATTGTAGAGGTGGGTATGCTCAATTTAGACATTTTGTATGTTGCATAAATAGACGCTCATAAACTCAAGTAGTCTACCCAACATATTGCTTATGTTCTGATTTATGTATCTGAATCATCATTGAATTTGTCTGGGGAAAAATTTTACAATAATAATAATAATTGTGGTTCCGAATTTACAAAATAGACAAAATATGGGATAACATGCTACATTTGTTAATAAATGTCCAAACATGAAGAAAAAACTTCTGATCTTGAGCTGAAATCATTGTAAGAGCAAAAGTGTAGCTCCTGACAACATGGAATGCTGAAAAGAAGGAAAATTTCAGATGGAAAAATATACGTATTTTTGGTTAATGAAATTATAGGCTGTTCAAATTCTAAATCTGTCCTGGGATGGACTTCTTGTGCTGTTTTGTTTCATTTCTTTTTTCTATAGAAATTATTCATTCCTTTTAGCTTGTCGTTTTACACACATGCAAGTAGCCTCAATTTAAATATACCTCATCATTATTGAAAAGTTGCAACATGAACATGACAGACTACATTGTTAGGTCAGCGGTTACATGCACCTCATCAGATGTACTTTTCCCAGGTGCTGTTTAGAGATTTGGATACCAATGTATGCTTTCAGAATATAATGGACTTAATAGAGGATTGACCAGAGATGTAATTCCTCCATATGTTTATCAATCCATCAGGTGTTTGGAGACATGTCTATCCCCGGCATGGACAAAGACGTGAAGGCCGCACTGGAGAAAGGCTCTCGTGGAATTGAGAACATTATGGGCTCCCAACCGAGGGTAAGTGAGACCTTAATCTTACTTTCTCTTAGTAATAATACAATTAATTATAGTGATAATAGAAGAAGAAGGAAAAGGAGAAGAGGAAGAAGAAGAAGAATAAACTGCATGTATAAATTACACATTTCTGCTAGAAAGTTAAGCTGTTTGTGCTTTATCTTTGCACTGAACAGTTGTTTTTTTTATTTATACAGACCATATGTGAGACATCGTGGTGACATCAGACGCTCGTCAAAATAATGAAATCAAAGAAACTATCATTTTTCTGTCCGTTTGTCAATTTTTATTGAATTTCTGCTTTTATATCCCTATAAAACACATTTCCGTGCGAATTTGACCGGAAAATGTTGATTAAAGGCACAAAATACGTAATTTATCAGTTTTCAGGGACCCTCAAGCTAATGAAGTGACGAAACTTTGGCGGCCATTTTCTTGCTAATTTTAACATTGAAACCAGGCAACCCCACCTCATTCAATCGCAAATATCTCGACTTCTATTCAAGATCAATGGATATTTATTTCATTTAAAGTACGGCAAATGGATAAGCTTTTAGATGATACCAATAACTCCTCACGACCAAAAATTGACGAGCGCCTGATTCTACCACGTCATGATACATATATAGCATAGTGGAATATTCTCAGCTTCTTTGAAGCAAGCACAAAAGTTGGATCTGATTTCTATTTTGACATAATTTTATTAGTCCAATGTCTTATTTAGGGATGGATTTTTCCTCTTCGTAAGTAACTCACAGTTACACTGTTATTTCGTGCCTTTTGTAAAAGTATATTTCATAGACTTGGAAGATTGAAGTATACCTCAGAAGACTGCTTTAAATCACCAGTTATTCTTAATGTTGGCATTGGCATTACAACTTTAAGGAGAAAATATCGAGAGAAAAATATTGACACCCATTTGAAGACTCCAGTGGGAAATAAAACGGATAAGTCACATCTGAAAAAAGTGGAAAAATGGAAATTTGAAGTTTGGAAGTCTGTATCTCACAATGAGTATAGCATTTGAGGAGCCCGTGGGAAAAACGGGCATAGTCACAAACTGGAAATTTTGAGGGTGTCAATTTTAAAAGCTTGTGGATTCATAATTTCATATTTGTTTGATTGGTGGTTTATTGTTATGTTTGTTTTGAATGGGAAATCAAACAAGAATAATCAACCAACAGTTGAGCAGAAATACAGATATATATGAGTCAACAAGCGTTCAAAATTGATACCGTCTCTTTGACTGTTCCATTTTTTCCTGTGTACTCCTCATTTCTTTTACCTTACATAGGACAAGACATAGCTGGGTTATTCATGGGATCCATTGCTGATAAAAAATATTGACTTTTAACTCTTTCGCTGCATATTATTTTCGGCTTATGGACGAATTTTTTTTCGGGAGGGCGAATGAGATGATGACTAGTGGGCAGTTAAAAGGTCTTTGGGGCCACAAATTCAAAAAATATCAACGTATTATATACCAATATTTTCAGTATGGTTTGTAGAATACATCTGTAATGTTTATTTATGCATTTTTCAACTTTAGTTCCTGTTAGAGACGATTATGCAACACAATTTTGATTGGGTGCGGATAAAATTTGAAAATAGAAAATTAATAATCTTTGGTGAAACTCAAAAAATATGTTTGCACCTAGTCAACTGATACATCAAAATAACCATAAATGAATATAGAACTGGAAAATATTGAAAAGTTTGCAGTTATTTACCTACATTCCATAATATTTGTACATTTTGAACATAACATCCGATATTGAAAAAAAAAAAAATTTATAATCCTGAAATCCAATCACAAACAGAAAAAAACCCACTCGTATCTTATGATAAGATAAGATAAGATACATCTTTATTGTCCAGATCCTGGCACATTGGTTTGGTGTTCCACCACGAGTACACACACACACACGCACACACACACACACACACACACACACACACACACAAACACACACACACACGCACACGTACACAGGTGCACGCACATGCACACACAAGTAGGCTTACAATCACATACATAATATAAATGAGCAGCAATATAAACAATAATAATCGTAAGCTAGATACACACTCAATGTTATGTTATTATATGGAATTATTCAGAATTACATTTGGAATAGACCTATACATGTCTTGAGTGGCACTTTTTGTGTAATTTCATCAAAAAGTAGTGATTTTGGGGAGAAAAATATATTTTGACAATTTAGATCTAGACCTAGATCGAGCACTCAGAAATATTGATTTCTCAATAACAGTACATCGGCAATATGAGTCCAATCGTATCAGTATTATAAAAAAGAGTCCTACACTTCTTTAGTGGGCAAAATAATGATAGGTTTTGTTTTTTAAAATTACTAAAACTGGTGTCCAGGCTATAATTTTGGCATCGCGATAAAACAAAGTCAAATAAACTACAAAGTCACGTTTCAGAACTGAATCAAAATTTCCGATTTTCAGTGGAAATGTTTGACCCGGAAGTCAACATTATATTATGACCTTTATTTTAACATCTATATGTGAATTGGAATAGAGTCTAAGCTAAAATTGAAGATCGCTTCTCGAGCCGCCGGGGGCGGCTTAGCGTACTGACGGCACTTTAGCAGCGCCGCCCCCCACGGCTCGGCGTAGCGAATGAGTTAAAGTATTCAACAAGGAAAAAATGCTCATTTTGAAAAATTGTGACTTATTTGATTTATTCACTGGAGTCTTTGTATAGATTAAATTAATTGGTTTTGTGAATTAATTTTCTTCCTCTCAGGTGCGAGGCCGACAGGAGGTTCACACTTCTAGTGGGTTCCGTCCAGATCATGGAGAAAGCCCATCGTCTTCTTCTAGCTCTTCGTCCGGGAGTTCTGCATCCTTGGTGAAGAAGAGCAAAGATATCTGAGATGGGAGAAGAAGGGCTCCGATACACCTTTAGCTTATTGAGTTGAAAGAAAAAATCTAGTATAATATGCAAAACTCTGTCAAGTTGACTTTTGAAAAAAGACTTTTATTTAATTCTTTCTGGACCACTCATGGTACACTGCGCCACCATTCTATAGGTTAGGTTATAGTGATAAAATAACTGCGTGTGGAGAGGGTAGAGAAAAAATACCACATCCTTCTATTAAAGTTTGGTATGAAATTATCTCTCTTCAACAAATGGACAAGCATTATTGAGATCAGACAGGTTAGACAAAATCTAAAGCTGCAGTTTCTTTTTCGATAGTGTTAGATGCTCGGTTGTCGATTTGCACAATTGGTGTTGCGAACTACAAGGAGATCTACATCGCAATTGCCATGTGTCCCAGATGCCAGGGATGATTGAGACTATGTCAATAACGCAAGAATGTTTCTATCATAGTGAACCCTGAAATAGTGGCTTCTTCATTAGGGATGTTAAAAAAATGTTTTGGTAAAACTGATCTTAAAAGAAAAAGTGAAATAGAAAACTAAAATATAAAATGTACAGTATAAATAATCGTCTTTACACAAAAGGCCACTGTAGTAAATGCAGTTTCACAGTAAACATGTTTTAGTAACAAGGCTATCTGTCAATGGATCTGTTTGTTCAGTGTAATCTTAAGAGCTGAAACTCAGCATCTTGAAACAATAAGAGATTTTGTATCATTTCTTTCTTGTGATAATTCACATTGTGTGCACGCACACTAGTGTACACTCATGAACACACAGACACACACACACACACACACACACACACACACACACACACACACACACACACACACACTCACACACTCTAACACACATACAAAGATGCTATACATTGACGTACCTCTACACCACTGACTTATGTAATGTAGTGTAAGCCTCAAGCAAGAAATCTTGCAATTAACAGTACAGCTCTCTCAAACTGCTCTCTTTAGAACCTCTCTATAATGTTATGAAAATAATATTCTAAAATATCCGTCCAGACACATTTTACAAATTTTTATTCGCTTGTGATTATATTGTTTCCTGGATATACCAGTACATATTTTCTAACTCCATTTACTTACTTTTTGTATTTACAAGAATAGCTTTCTTGTGCGGTAACATTTGCTTCGAATTTAAAGTTAAAATGAAATAAAGTACACCTTTGATTGTATTGCTTTTCCTGCTGTCACAGAAGTTAGTTTATTTATTTCTAATGCTTCAAAAGGCTGATAGTGTCAGTTTATTAATTAACCGCTTCCAATTACTTGTGGATCTCAAGTTAAGATTTTGTGTTTATTATTTAATGTGAAGGCTAACAAATCAAAATCTTTTATTTGAAATTACAATTTGCTTGTGAAAGTTTAAAAAATCAAGGATTTTATTTAGAATAATACTTTTAAAGGATAACAAATCAAAAGGTTCGTTTTTTTTACATTTCTATTTGCATTTATGCGCGGCATTTTTCTGAATGATTTTTATGCGCTTAATTTCCTCAAATGTATTAATTTTATTTTGTATTATTATCACTTTTAATCAAAAGATATAATGCATCTGTATTGTGCTTTAAATTTTGTATTCTACCCAATAATTTTGTCAACGCAATGTTACCTAACTGGCAATGAAATGAGATTACTGTAGACCACATTGTTTTGTGTCTGCTAGAAATGATTTTTTTTTTGCTTTCATTTTATGTCAATGTATTTTTCATGTTTTGAGTACATTTTCAACACCAGAAATGTACTGTGTTAAGAACCGCCCAAAAACAATACTGAAATTTTCATTATGAAAGTATGTTTGGCTGCCAGCGAATCAGAATGTCATCTGCAGTCTAATTACTCACATTCCTTCTCCGTCAGACTTTCTTTTTTAACTGTCATGATCTGTTCAGGTGGTATAAATTGTAAAGTAAATGAATCTATTTGGAGAAATATTTTACTTGGATGAATCTATTTGGAGAAATATTTTACTTGGCAGCTTTAGTAATACAGTCATTGTCTGCTTTACATTCAATTTTATAACTGCTTGTGATTTTTAAATGGCAGATGGTTTAGTGATGAATTACTGTCTACTTTATATTCATAATTTTAGAAGTGTTTTGTACAAGATTTCTTTGACTTTACCTGTGGAAACAGAAGATTCTGTTTTATTTTTTGCAGAACCCTACCTAGTGTTGCTAATGTTATCCGTCCTTTTGAATATTAGATCAATTTGTTCTCTTTGATAACACTTTAAAAAAAACAACTTATTTTATGTTTTTTTAGCAGTTATACAAACTTTTTTACTTAATTCACATGAAACTTCTCTGCTTTTTCTTTTATGCGCTAGTGTGCACTCCTCAAAACTTTTCAGCTGAGTTTCACAGTTCGTAAAAGGATACCTCTCTTCTGACAAATGATATCTCAGACTTCCATTTAATTTTTGCAGAACCAATTCCTTTTGTGACAGATCTTATATGAGTTGTTTTTCTTTCGAAATAGAGTTATTTCCTGAATTTTTTATGGTGAAAATCATAAATGGACGAATTTATGTTGACCAATTGAGAAGATTGTACTGCTTACACATTTATTCTTTCTGACCTTGACCTTCACAGCTGGTCCTGTGATAGCTCCAAAGACTGTGTTATTCTAACATGGGTCACTCTGCTCTGGAAACCAAGATATTAGGAACACGACTCACTAGTTGGTTATAACTTTTAGTTCTCAAAGCAAGGGAGGATGAAAAACAAACACTTTCGAGTTATTTTTTTTTCATTTCTTACCCTTTCCCTAATAGCAAAAGCAGTTACACCCGTTTGTTATTGCATGGAGGTTTTTTTGGTGCCATCATAGTGGGGGAAAAAAAGCGAGTGACCTGTCTTAGAATGTGTGTGTGTGTGTGTGTCTGTGAAAATAACCCAAATGTCAACAGACTGAGTTCTGCTCTTGATTTGAGAAAAAATCGTAATGCAGTTTGTAAAAACATTCAATGTTATAATCTTTTTTGGAAAGATACATGGAAAGTGAAATACTACATCTTCTGAATGTTTGTAAGATAATTAGTTTTAAAGTGGTGAGAAGTCCAAACTGATACTTAAACATTTCTTTTTTATTTTGTTTGCATTTTGTGTCTTCATATCCCGTCATTTCCCAAAAATTTCTCAAAGCAAAAGATTAGAAGAGCAACGAATCAGAATTCCTCCCTCTTTCAGAAACCTTTACTACCTCAATGTTTGCCATCGACGTTTGGATTGTTTTCACGACAATCACACACACACACTTAATTGTCTTTGGTCCTACTTGGTCAGGCAACACCAGAGCATAACTTTTTATGATACATGATAGTATCTGTGATCAATGTTTTACCACAATGTTCACAAAATTAACAAGGTCAATAAATAATGTTAACTTTTTCTTAACATCAATGGCGTCTATGTATTGAATTTATGACGTTCTAGATGTTAATGCTGTCTTAATGGCTGTTGTCATTGATTGTTTATGATGTTTTTGTCGCTGTTTAAGTCTCTCTCTTTTTTTTTTTTTTTTTGGTAAGTGTTTTAGGGCGCTCGCAACTGCATAAGGTCATATGAGCGCATGGGAACACATTAAACTTTTTCAGTTGCAAGGAAATTTTGAATTGTGCCCAGGTGGCGGCCGAAGCCTACTCGTATCGATTTTAGACCACCAAGGGACCACTTTAACGTGCGCAACTTGCACATGGACCCTCCAAGATTGTTCTCCCTTGTCCGGAAGGCTATGTGTAGATCTTCCTACCAGAAGATCAGGGGTGTGACTGAAAGACAACAGCAAGAAGGAGCCAAGGAGTAGCAGTAGAAAGGCTGCAGAAAGAGTCAGGAGCCCAGAAGAGGGGGCAAAGGAGGTGAGGAGGAGGGGGCAGAAATAGGATACGAAAGCAGACAACAGAACATTGGTAGAGAGCAGGAAAGGAGGTGTAAGGAGACAATTTTAGAGAAGAAAATGTTTTGGCCAATACCCAGATTCGAACCCGGGACCTTCGAATGAGAGGCCAACACCTTAACATCTAGGCCACAAGAGCCCCCTGTTTAGCCTCTCTTTAGCTTGCCTTTATGTTGAAAAGAAGAAGACGGTCATTGGTCAGTGTACAGATATAAATGCTTCTTTCGACATTCTAGGTAATTTAAGAGGCGGGACCTCAGAATTGAACGTCCACCTCTAGTAGGATCAAACCATATTATGAGTGGAGTGCCTGAAAAACTCACTAAAACAACTCAAGTTCAAAACGCCCTATTGGGGATTTCGTACTGGAAAATCAGCGGCTCTGTAGTCCAGCATGGTAGGCCTACTTACTGAGCTAACAGTGCACTCAAAGAAGAAAGGAGGAGAGGGAGGAGGAGAAGAAGTAGATGAAGAAGAAGTGATGCATGTTTTGAACGCATTTCAGGCAGCACAAGTTAACGATACCATTATGGAGCTGCCTTCCCTGTGTAGAGCTGTCTATACAGACTTTGTTGATGTAATATGAATTTATTATTAACTCTCACTTCAACTCTGTAAAAATGCTGTGACGTGTGGATTGCTCCTCCAATCCTGCCAAAATTTTAATTCTACCATCCTTTTCTCTTCCTCCTTCTTTTTTGTTCGTTACTCTCTTTTTCGCGCTTTGCCTGTTTCCCTTTTTGAAGGCTGGTTGGCAGTTGCTCTGGTCATGGTGTGTTTTGCTCCTCTTTTCCGATAAAAATAAATGTGTATTATCTTGATCGCTCCTTTCAACAAAAGAAAAAAAATTCAGTAAGAAAAATTGCTTTCTCTAACATTGTCTACGTTCACCTCCTTTCCTGCTCTCTAGCATTTTTGTGTTTGTTACTCTCTTGTAACACCTCTAATGCGGCACTAATAATATTACCTTAGGCCTACTCTGCTGCAAATGCCGTAAAACGCTTACTAAAACTAAACTATACTGAACACTAAAGACAAGAAGAGGGGCCACTAAGTTTAACCAGGAGTTTGTTTCACTGACAATAACGTATACCTATGGTGACAACCCTTAACACTTTGCCATCATATTTCGGGGAACATCCAAAGAAATTGAGTGGTAAATATCACCAGTCGGCAAGATGAGACCGCAGAGTGTTAACATGACGTGGTTTTGCTCTTTGGCAACAATCCTTATCGTGACGTGATGGGGCTGTCGACAAGGAGTGTAAACAAAAATACATACTTTCATACTATGTAGCATGTGACGGGAATGCATACGTAACCTATTACAAGTATTACCTTGATGTGAGGTATCCTGGGAAAACAATTCATACTTTGATGTGATGATGCATTAGATAACAACCTACATGGTGTACCCAATGCTGTAATGAACATAGACATAGCGGTGTGGCTACTGAACGTGCCAATGCTAACTACTGAATACCGCACATCTCAATGAAATAATATAGAATGCGTCATTGTCTAAGTCCTCGTGTTCTTCACATAATAATATGCTGGTCGTTTCATTAATTAAAGAGGAAGAGTAAATAAAATGCGTTAAACTTCAACATGTTTTATTTCTATCAAACTAATTTCTCTATTCCAAATTTTTAATGCTACGTTAGAAGAACAATAACTGAAGAGTGTCGAAAGAAAAGGACAGACTATCATCAACTGTTGGCATTTATCTTCTCTTCTAACACAAACAAGAAAAATACAAACACTGAGGGGGAAACGGTTGAATGTTTACATCTCCCAGGTGCTTGCTCAGTTCCAAAGTATTAAATAAAAGGCTATATTAAATAATTATACTATCTCTTTTTATTCATATATATTAATGTAAATGAAACAAGGAAAAATGAATAGGTTTACCTGGAAGAATCATGTTGTGCATTTGTGTAGGCTAAGGAGTTTCAGGAAAGCTATAGGCTCTGTAGATCTGTCTTTTTGTCGAAAGAACCAATAGTAAACTTTTCCAACAGTCAACAGACATTGGAGCAATACTGCTTATAGAGAACACACAATGTAACTAATCAATTATCGCGAGTTCACGAACGTATTGGGAGGTTTTTGTGGAAAAACAACAAAGTATAATTACATATTGTATTGAATAGATACACGACCGTCACCTTGTACACACATTTAACAGCAAGAAATGATACCTGTTGGCTCCATAATTGATTCTTAATATTATTATTATTATCTGTGTCAACGGAGGGGTTAATTGTAGACATGATATTTGCTTGAGTCCCGATGGATGAAATAAACGTACGTATTCGGATTACATACTCCTAGCTCGTTTAAATGTAAACTTGGGGAAATCATTGTCAGATTCTGAGTATAAAAATCTTCAAACTAATGAGTGGAGCGAATTCAGAGTTCTGTGTATGCTAACCATTATCCTTTTCTTTGCCTTCCCTACATAAGAATACACACAATATCGAAACAAACGAAATTATGTAAATGGGAATGTATAGCAAATTTACCATAAATCCAGAAAACAGTAGAGCACCGTACCGTGGAATTCATAACCTTGGAAATTAAATAATATCAGCTATAAAATATAAGGACTTGAAGCCATTGCTCTCACGAACTGTTTAATGAAAAACTTCAATTTCAAACCAACTGTGTCCACTTCATTTGTTACACAGCGTAGTTTAGAAAAGACTCCAAGAACGTCAGTCTAAAAGCATAGGCCTTCATGTGATACAGTAATAACGCTTTTCTCCATACTCATAATGAACTAATAATGAAACAGAAATAACAGATTGGAGTTTCAAAGAGTTCCAACCCTCTAAGAATGAAATCTTCGAACTTCACCTCAGACTCAGAGATGTTTAACATCAATAATACTGAGAGAGACTCCATACAGACATGCCACATAATCAGGGCAGCAGTGAATTCTCTCTCGGCCTTTATTTCACTGTTTGGCGTTGCGGCCAATGTTTTGAACCTCCTGGTCTTCGCCCGACAAGGCGTCTCTGAGAGCATCAACGCGTCTCTGCTGGCCCTGGCAGGATCAGATCTCTTGGCCCTTCTCGTCCTTCTCTCTCACTGTGTCCTCATCTGGGTGGAGGACGCGGGGATTTCCCAATTACCTCGAGGCACTTGGTTTGCAAGTTTGTGTTCGTTAGGATTTTTTTTTTCATTCATTTTTGTTGTTGTTGTTGTTTTTGTTGTTCAATTTAAGTCTTTTATACTGTAAATTGTAAATAATTAATTTATCCCATATCTTCCCTCTAATTAT